AAATCTGAAGTGGAGACAAGGCTCCTACCTGAAGTTCTTCCAGTAAATATTTGCCATAACTAAATATTTGTCATAATTTATTATGATGACTTATATAGGTCAAAGGAGGTGATGATTCCCCTTTATTCAGCACTGGTGCAACCCCATTTGGAGTGCTGTGTCCAGTTCTGGGCTCCTCAGTAACAAGAAAGATGTGAATATACCGGAGTGAAGGGCCGGGCCACTAAGATGATTAAGGGACTGGAGCATCTGACACACCAGCAGAGGCTGAGGGAGCTGGGACTGTTTAGCCTGGAGCAGAGAAGGCTCAGGGGGATCTTATCAATGCGTACAGATAGCTGATGGGGGAAGGAGTAAAGAAACAGACCCAAACTCTTCTCAGTGGCACCCAGTGACACGAGAAGGGGTGAACGGCACAAATTAAAATATAGGAAGTTCCATTCAAGCATAAGAAAAAAATGTTACTTTAAGGATGGTCAAACACTAGAACAGGTTACCCAGAGAGGTTCCATCCTCACAAATACTCAGCCTCCAACACAGCCCTGAGCAACCTGCTCTAGCTGACCCTGCGTTGAGGCAGGTTGTACAAGACGAGCTCTAGAGCTCTCTTCCAGCCTCAGCTGTTCTCTGATTTTGTGACTATGTGTAAAATAGTCTCTCTACTATACTTTCAGGAGAACCGAGATATTAATTCTGTTCCACATGCTCACATGTTTATATTTTTTCATCATCTCAAATCAGAATGAAAACAAAGTCATGAAATATTTTGATAGTCAAAATGTTTCAGTCTCTAACAATATGCTGTATTGTTCCCTTACAGAACAAGATGTATTGCTTTTACTAAACTTCTCAATACATCCTCACTGAAAACTCTGATGAAAGTAGTATGTCCCATGCATGTTCTGTTTATTGAGCAGGGATCTTCCTACATAAAACGTTTCAGCTGAAAATTGTTCAGCCTACTCTTAAAGGCTGGTTCAGACCACTCATTTCCAAACCCTAGAATCCTAGCATGCTTTATCATTGAATTTTTTTTTCCGTAAGTGCCTTATAACTAATGACACTTAAAACTAATCCACAAAAGGCCAGAGCCAAACATAGGAAGATTGTTATTGCTGCAACTGGCTTTGTACCACCTTTGCAAGTAGTTTTGCTTTCTTTTTTTCCAGTTGTTTTTTCCTTTGATCTAGGTGATAGTTACATGCTTTCTCTTTCAAAAAAGAAAATAAACAATAAAAGAGAGTAGAGATTGCGAGCAGTAGCAATATAAAATATGGGTAGCAGAGCGCTTAGCACAGGTCTCCTACGTAAGCATGTCTTAACTAAATCTTTTTTCTTTGCAGCTTTCAATACCAAGAGAAAGAACTCCACGCCAGCCTTGCAACAGCATTTCTGAATATTGTCTGACTGCGGCGTTATGACTGAGCGATTTGTTGCAAGCTGCCAAATTAGGGACCACGATTATTACCTGAGCCAAGATTCTGAAGAACAGGTTCTGGGTAATGGAATTGGAGAATACCTGCAGTTCCTTTCATTCAGTGTGACACAGCATTGTGCTGCAACTGTTGGAACAATAGTAACATCTCCAAAAAGCCTTCCTTTGCGTGCGCAGTGCAGCCATGTCAGCATGCAGAGCTCAGGGCATACTCTCCTCTACTGTTAACACAATTTCTTGCTTCAAATCGCCTGCACTAAAACTTTACATGTCTTTCTCAATTATCATAGAGCACTGCATGCAATAATCATTTTACACGTTCTTTTAATTTGGTTGTAAAATGTGACCTGTTCCTTTCTGTAATATATATTTATCCAATCAAGAACTATATAACTACTAGTATTTACCATTATTTCACAGATACGAGCTAGGCATTGGCATTTTATTGCATGCCATCAATAAGTCAAGAAAATGCAGAGTCAAAGTCATCTCCCCTGCAATTATTCAAGTTGAATCTAGCCTAAAGTTTGACTCAATTATGCTAGGCAACTACAATTAAATAAATGCATTCTGGCCATGTTCACTGATACTACGCAAGTGTGTTAAAAATACACCTTTAGACTGTCAGTCTTTTTCAGAAAAAGTCATCAAATGAATCATATGCAATCTTATTGTGACACCAGTCACCATGTACAGCTGTGCTCGTTTCCCATTTCGGTCTGTATCTGCTGTGCTATCTCATGTTTCTCTTTTAAGATCATAGTTAGACTAAAGCTACATCTACACTTCTTCCATTGAGTAATGTCAGCCAGGGGTATTTCCACAGTACCAAAAGCTGTGGTGTGGACACAGTCCCACTGAGAAAAAACACAGCTTATCTCATTCAGGGCAGTGGCATAAGCAACTCTGACAAAAGCACTCTACTGATACAAGTTGCACCCACACTAGGAGCATTTTCAAGCAGAGTAGACTGTCTCTTTGGTGAATGTCTGAATGACCGGGATTCAATGAATTCAGTCTGCTGGTTTAATCATCAATTTTCCCAGTAAAGACCAGGTACTGACAGGGGACATGATAAGAACACCGATTTATTGCTCCCCTCTAGAGCTATACCGGTATATTTTAGCAGCAAATCTTTCCTAGGAGGCCTAGCTGAAAGGGCTGAATAAAGCCCCATGTATTAAATAAGGCCTCGTCTACACAAACCAGTTCAATTTCTTTAATTATAGTGTCAACTATATTGATAAAAGAGTTCCTATCATGCTAGAGTATACTCCTATATATTTAATATATTCAATCAGCTGGTCTAAGGCACCTTCACAGTGGCCTAACTGAGAAAATACTACATGAAAAATTATGTAAGATTGCATTATGCAAGTGGACCACACCAAATGAACGTCTTAACAGTGAATGTTTACCAGTTAGAACAAAACAAAACAAAAACTCCTACAAAAGACAGATAAGACTTCATTTTCAACATGCAAGGGGGAGAGACTGGTAGGAAATCAGGTACTACTACAACGTGTAAAAACTAACCTAATTTTTACCTCCTAAACAGTGGAGCACTGCTCACAAAGCAGTCTCTTGCTCAGAAGACAGGCAAACCCATAAAAAGACCAGAAGATTTGCACCTTAGTACTTGGAAAGGAAAAAAAAAACTTTTGAGCAATATGCTGTTTAGGCTCAGATACCAGGCAGTGACGGTCAGGGCTGTCTTAAACTCAGCTTTTTAGCTAAGACAGATATGAATGACTGCAGTAGGTCACAAGAGAACTCACTAAAAGATGGAATATCTATCCTAACTCTGTTCTGTCACTGTAATTTAGCAAAATAGGCTATGCAACTTGAACTCAGTTAAGTGCAAGACTAGATAGTAACTGTGTAACATGGTTTTCAAAATCTTTTTTCTCTTTTCAAATAGTTAAACGAAAATATTTCATTTTAAGAACATGGTCGAGCACTGTCCTTCGGGAAAAATACAGTCAAAACCACTGGGCAAACTGCCTGTCACCATACATGAGCTTGTATATGCAGGTCTGGACCCAGTCCTACTGCTAAGGCAAAGAATCATGAGATTCCTCTCCAAGACTCAGTTTGTGGGGTGTGTGGATTCAGGCAAATCAGAAATTGTACAGTGTCCCTTCCTAACTATGACATTTACTGGGTGCTGAAACAAAATTACATCAATAGAAACAATTTTGATATCATAGCTGTTTACCACAACCACATTAATCTCAGACAACAGGAACCCTAATGAGAAGAAATTTAGTTAGTATAAGTGACCTAAATTATACTGGATGCGAATCTGCACCTCTCCGATTTTTGCTCTATCTTGCAGTGATACAGTGCTCTGGTAAAATAAAGCAAAACATGAATAAGATTGTATTTGATAATGTGTTTCTAGAGAATATAATATGATAAAATCTCTGGATAGCTCCTCAGCTGGCAGAACCCCTTGGAGTCCTGCCATTTACACCAATTGAGGATATGGCTGATTACCAAATTTTTACCCTAGGCAACGGAAAGTGTGTTTTGCAATGCGTCACCTACACTTCAGACGCACGCAGAGATCCATAATCATTTATGAATGGCAGTTAATTCTTCCTGTACACAGTGGCAGAAATGATTAGTGGGCAAACTAATGAATGGAGCTCTCTACCAGCACTCAAGACAAGCGTGGTGGGGTCTCTCATTATTAGACAACTTCAGTGAACTTCTGACTTCAACAGGTGATTAGAAATTGTAGTATTAGAACAACAATTCACTGAGTCACCACAGCATCCCTCTTTGCACTAGTGAATAAGATGCACAGACTATTCAATATCATGACACTTTCAAATAAATTACCAGATACTTTATTATTCATCCAGGGCTAATTGCATCACTATGACTTGGCGTTAGATCTAATGTTTGCAAGGATCTGCAACATGAAGCAGAATGACAATTGCTATTACAACATGGATGCAATAGAAGAAATGTATCCAGTCTGGACTCCCACATTGACAGGTTAAATCAATGCAGCTCTGCAAAAAGTAACATTGCAATACACACACACACACAAAAAAAAAAAACTTTGGGGAGGGAAATGAATCTTACAAGGTCACTAAATTAACAAAAATAAATGACAGGATATGGTTAGAGACGTGCCAAAGTGCAAACGTTTGAAAAATACCCAAACTCACGAAAATATATTGTACTTAAACACTGCACAATGTGGTTTAGCAGTTAATGAAGCCAAATACAGAATATAAGGGTAAAGAGGAGGCATCCACTACCCTGACTTACAAGAACAAAAATAGCAGTACTTGTAATTTGCATTAAAAAAGGAAGCTGTATGCAAGGCTTCCAGACACTTTCCATGTTTAGCTCTGGTTTCGCCTTTCCTTTGACCCAATTTTAGCCTCTTGATCAAAAATTCCAATTCTCTACTTCAGGTTCATTTCTTATTAAAACAAACCAAAAACCCAACATCGCTTTCAGAGGGCATACTTACTCTGATGAATCTTGAAAACAAAATACATGTCTCAGGAAAAGAGGGAGGACTGATCCCTTCCTCTCTCCTCCTCCAAACAGTAAGGAAGTTACGCTCTTCTGAGAGACAGCATCAGGCTTTAGGCACTGTTTGAGGCTTAGAAGCCTACTTTGACTCCTACAATATAAGACGAGCAGAATTTAGGCACTCATGTTCAAAAAGTCAGCAGGAATAGTAAAGGCCACCTAAGTCTGGAGGGCGTCTAAAACACAGTAAATGGCTCTCTGGCCCAAATCCTAGTCAGACCAGGTACAGGCTAAAATGCCCTGATCTGGGAAAGCGCGTGTCTAGCTTCGCCTAAGCAACATTGTGAATTTGGCATTTATTTTTGCCTTTGTTTTGGAAGCCCCAATTAATGCAGCATAGCATATATGCACTTAACAGGCAAGGGACCGTATTTCCTGAAGAAGGGGGCCACCAAGCAGCCCAAAGTGAAAAACACAAGGACACTGAGTGAAAAGGCATTACTATATTGTTACCATATAAGGTACTGAGAAGTGCTGACATTCTCTTTTCTGGACTGCTTGATTAATTATAATAAATTCAAACACTATTACTACCTTAATATCCTTTGATTTCCCAGTTGCACAGTGGTCCAGCTCCAAAAGGAATATTGTGGACTCTGGCAGTTAGTGTCTCCTTTCATTCCCTCCTTCCCCCATCTCCCTAACCCAACCTTTTCTCAAGGCTCTTAAGTGTACAAGTGAGTCTCCAGACTTGTAGCTCAGAGTCAGATGTTCAACGGATAAGAGCAAGAGTTAGAAAAAGTGCACAAGAGAAGCAGGCTGTGAGAAACACTCCTTTCCTGGGCTGTTTTGGCTGATTTTCAAGGCCGTCTCCTGTTTCAGCGTTCAGCATGCCTGAAATGCATTGCTAGGCATCAAACCTTTCCTCCTGATACAGAATGTAACCACCTAAATTTATCTGTGAATTCTACTCCTAAATTACAGGTGATCTAGCTTGTGCATCACTATGAAGCCTTTTTGTGTGTATGTCAGACCACTGGTGCCTAAAATGTAAGCCTTGGGGTGCATAATCTGTGGGTGCCTTTATTTTTCACCAGACTCATGCAATCCTCAGATGGTCTGGCATTAAGTTGATAACGTTCCCAACGCCAGTGAATGCCTCTAAAAATTTGGATCTTGGGCTGGTCAGTGCTGAATGGAGGCTACCAAAACACAGTAGCTTTAGTAACGCGAGCCTCAGTGCCGCATTCCACCATATATAGCGCCATTGCATCATCAGCGATCAGAGATGTGCTAAAATAAACGCTGAAAGATCGTCAACTGCTTTAGTATATCTCAAAGCAGACTGTCAGCATGTATGTTCTGTAGTTTCTTTTTCTTTCTCCAATATTTTAAGAATAACAGTACAGCCATTAAAATTCTGCTGTCTTCTGTATCTGAGGTAAAAAATTACCATTGGCTTTCTACCCTTCATTAATTTTTCACGATTATTTTTTAACTATTATAGCTGTAGCTAATGATAGAAAGTTTTCATGAATAAATAATGGTGCAGACTGATACGCTGGCACATCTCAGATGAGGCTACTGACGGCAAACTTGCTCTTTCAGCAAAACGCTTGCAGGGTTTCCTACTCTCAAGTTTATTTCACAACCGTTTCTTTGTATCTCACCATTCCCACTGCATCTAATTTTATTCTGCTTTAAACTAAGAAAGAATTTTCTTTTAAGTTTTGATGCCCAACAGTACTCGTTATCAATCAACTACAAATCTTGCAGAAGACTGGGCACAACAATAAGGAAAATCAAGGAAATAACAGAGGAAGGCATGCTAAAAATATATCAAAGGTATTACTATAGACAATCATCCAAGAATCGAGGACCATGATCCCACCTGTTAGATAAACAACAGCTCACAGGTCTGTCTGTATCTAGGTGAGAAATCCCTCATCCCTCTGATAACGCAGTCTGACGTTCTCAAAACAGTATTGCTGGTGCAATAAACGGTGGTCTTCCTTTTCAGTGATACCTAAACCAGTCACATGGGTCTTAACACAGGTATCAAAAGCAAAGTGGTTCAGCGAGGTGATCCTGTGGCTGAGAGCCAAAAACATCAAAGTGTTATTCTTAGAAAGGCATTTTTATCAGTGTGTGCTTTTAGGCAAATCACTAACCCAAAACCACATCAGTTTCCTTATTTGCAAAACTGGGAAATAATGATACTTTCACATTTTTGTAGAGTTCTTTGAAATCCATGGCTTCAAAGGTTGGAAAGAGCATTTGATATTAATTATTACTATTGTGACTTAAATTGAAGGAAAACTGAGAAGAGTCACTGGTTAATATTTAAAAGGCAGTATGAATTGTGTTCATCTCCAGGGCATGAGTTAAAGGGTGTTTTTGACCTCCTCTCATCACTTGTTATGGAAGAGAATATTTCAGATAAAAGGTGGCAGATAATAGTTATGTCCTGGCACTTTTCCAGCAGAAACACTTGAGTTTTACATACTTAAAATTCAGTGAAGTGTGTATGTTATTCTTCACTACATGCTCCATGTTTTTGTGCGATGGTACTGAAAAAAAGCCCACAATTGCTATACTTGTTATTTTTGTACGATAGAGATGTATGGTCAAATTCTGCTAGTGGTGCACATGCTAGCTCAGGAATGTCAGTGGAGCTTTTGTGGCTGTAAGTCACAATTTGTTAAACTGAACTTGAACTTTGTGATCTTCCCTAATGGGAAAAGCTATGTAAGGGCAGAGGGAGCATAACCTTAAAGCATGAACAATAACATGTACTCAAGGGTAAGCAGGTACCCTGAGGCCCCTTGGATGTACCTCTAGTGAAACACAGCAAAATTGAAACACTTTTGAAAACTCCAACTGCGAATATATATATACACACACACATATAGAGGGAGAGAGATATAGAGATACAGATATAGATAGATAGGACTTACCTATAAAAAGGGCTTGGCGCTGAGATTCACCAACTGACCACGCAATGGCCATATGTTTATGACAACTGTCATATGTTTAGCCTACAACATCCTGGGCGTTCACCTCATCTGACAAGTCCACCCATCCTCAGTCTAACTACTGGTTATGGAACGGCCAGAACAGTTATGTTTCTGTTCGGGCTTCTTGTGATTGGCTTATGGACATTGGTAAGTATGCACTGAACCAGCCTCACTACACTAGCAGGGAACACGCTGCAACTTCAGCTTACAGAGTGAGGAGAGAAACATGCAATACTTGTGTAGATGTGGGTATATAATGAATCCTTCTAGAAAAATAAGTATCGTTTCATCACATTTGCAAATCACAATTTTAGTGAATGTTCCAGAGATAGGCAGGATATACCTACTCCTTTTTGCCTTTGCAGTGTGAAGAATGCAATGGAAGCAATAGAAGCTGCAGAGGAATATGTTTTATCATACGGGACACCACCAAGAAACTCGTCTAGAAGAAAAGACCATACGTGGGCTAAGAAAACAGCATGATGTATGAGTCACACTGCTGAAATCAACCGCTGGATTAAATAGTGCCATTTGAAGGGACAAAACCATTATTTTCTTTAGCCATCCAAGCAAGGGAAACATACTAACTCAATTGCCAGCACAGCTACCAGAAGGAAATTGTGAACTCCTTTTAGTATTCAAGACATTGCTCTATCGCCTTACTCATATGAGATTCAGCATCTCCTTTGAAAACAGCAAAACAATGACTTTGTCTCCATTTTAATTTGGAAGGAGTCCAAATTAAGCTATTATGAGAGATAAATGATATAATGAGAGCTGCATGCAATTTACTGTAAAAAAAATGAACAAGCAAAATGACCTCTCAAATGTGTGCCTTTTTCTTTTTTGCACTTACTGAAATTTTTATGTTCTAGGTAGTGAAGTCAAGTTTCATATTCAGCTTTCCTGTTAATGTTAACATGCACATGACAGGTTCCAACTAAGCAGAAAAATAGGACATTAGGATGCCAACCTAGCCTTCCGTTATTAGCACAAATAACTTACACAGAGTTTTTGTATTAACTATTTCTAGAATATACGCCTATGTACAATACTGTCTCACAGCAGTTCTTCTGACTGGCAGATGCTAGATATTCTGGCACTGAAAAGAAACTCTGCGAGTCTTCATCATTCTGCAGCTATAATTGTGAACAAAAATATACCACAAGCACTGGTGAAAACAGGGACTCCTGGATCCTAGGATCATAGAGCTTTCGAGCAGTGAAGTCTGCCAGCTCATGGGCAAAGTTATCTTCCATTTTACAGCTCCAAGTTTTTAAGCCTAAGTGATTCAATCAGATCTGTATTAAATGATGAACATATTATGTTTATGAGCACAATTATGCTAGTGAACATTTCTTCAAGGAATCTTTATTCTTCATTCATTAGCTGGATATCATCATCTGAAACCAAAGGAAAATGTTTTGAAAAACTGAATTAACCCCTTCGGGGCAATCACAGACCTCGACAGGTTGTTTTTCAATACTAACTCTCCTATTTATTCCCAGATTTGCTCCTATAAAAATTTCTGTCCGTAGTCATCACTTCACTGCGTTTTTCAACTTCTTAATTTTCTTTCTAACAGCAACTTCAACCCTGTCTGAAAAAAAAAAACAACTATAATCATGTTTTATTTCTCTAGCCCTCTGTATTCCCCTGCAAGACCTAACATCTTGAATCAGTGGAAGTGCTGTTGGTTCTGCAGACTATCCCAGCGGTATAATCTCCTGAAGGGAAATGAGAAAACACTAAAATAGCAGAAAAGTTGTCAGAGACTGTCAGCACAGGACTGAAAATAGCATGACTAGCCAGGAGAGTTCTTGGGACTGGCGTTATACTGGAAGAGACTTGTTAATCACCAACATTTGCTCTTGCTAGTGCAATGAAACAGAGAGTCTGTGGACTTTGGACCACTGCTAATTTTTTCCACTGATAATTTTTTAATGTATTCTGTAGTACAAAGAGAACTACTTACTAGGGATGACACTTATTGGTTGGTACTGTACAGCTCCTGTTTCACATTCCTGATCCCACATGACTACACGTATCTAACTATGCTGACACTTTGATATGTTAAGGGACACGCAGTATCATGGTAAGCCAGTAACAGTGTGCACAAAACACGGGTTTTTACAGGCCAGAAAGCTCTTTGTCCAGATAGAGGGAGGGTGCTTAAATGTGACTCCATCCATGTGCTGATATTAACAGCATCCAAGTGTACCAACACAGAATTTTTATCAGTGGATGTAAATCAGCATCACTCCAGTAAACGCAAGGCCACTTCACTTCAGCTCAGCAGCTGACACGACCGGCTTACAGCAGATACGCTTAAGATACACTTTTCCAGCAGCAAAATAAAGGAATACGTCCACTGATAGTTCTGGTCTTCGCAATAAGCCTCTTTGGGCTGCTAGGTTAAGCTAATTTACGTTCCAGAATCAGCAGTTTCCCACCAGAGGGTTTTTAATATACTTTATTAGCTTAATATGCTCAAACATTGCACTTGTGCATAGAAAGGACAGGGGACTGTCAACCATGGACCCAGCTGCCATGAGAACAGAGCTTGGCAGCCCTGGCGCCATGGCTGTGTCAGGGAGCGGGCACACCGCAGCCGACCTGGCTAACGAGCCTCTCAGTGCTTATAAGCTCTTGCAAGTCTCTCCTCCTGGTGTCATTGCTTCACTGCATCAAAACCAAAAAATAAAGCACGTGAAGCACTCTGCAGTGATGACCTGTGTGATCCCACAGAGTTCACGGTGGAGACTGATTTATGATGACTGACAACCGCTTATGATTGTGAAAACTGGTAGCCAGTATAGCCTATGTTCCTCTAAACCTTGCCTGCAGAATGGGGCAGAGAGAAATCATTTTCCCTTTTAGTATTCCTAAAGCTTTACTGTTCTCAGCTTTATTTAAAGAAACTTAAGGCCCCATGAAAAGGATACAGCATACATAAACAGGGCAAACATTATGTCAAGCTATTTTAAAAATGTCAGCCTGTTACTTGATGTAAGGTTCTGACTTAATATGCACAGGAAAGTGAAGGCATTTGAAAATCTCTGTTTAGTAGTTCAGAAAATGGGATCTGAGATTGCTTTAAGCAAGGTCATAAAGACCTCTCAACCTTTCCTTTTATTTATTTTTTTGCAAACACATTGACTGGCTTGATGGTGCATCACAGGCAAATATCTACATGCTTCAAATAATGAAGTAGTGTCATTACTTTATCTTGACAAACTCGCAGTGTAATTGCAAAAGATCTTCCAGACTGTAAAAAAGTGTCAAAACAGGAAATAGAATAGCACAGACCTGAGATGTTTTCCATTTGCAGGCCTTCATATGGGTGCCCTTTTTCATACTTTTAGCCATATATCGGAGAGCATAATTTGATGATAGACGTGAAACTCTGTATTAGTTTTTATTTTGACAAATTCATTAAACATCACATAGCCTGAAAAATGAACCAGGAGGCACTAAGCCAGCCCGAGAAGATTGTACTTCATAAACTGAATTGCTCACATGGGCAACATTTTGGTAGAAGTTATAGATTTTCTAGCATATCCCTGATAGATAGCACTAATATAACTTCAATAAAAACTCCAGATATGTCAATATAAAATTTTTTCTAGCATCGAAAGATGTAAGATACTTCAGCTAATAAATTGGAAGACTCCCTATTCCTTAAGGTACACTAACTTACACATCAGATTCTAACAAGTATCGAAATCATCTAAGTTAGAGCAGGCAGCTGCAGGTCTGTTGTTTATAAAAGCTGCACTAAATCAAGTTATCAATGCACTACAGGTTATAATTAGAATTTAAGAACTAAAACAGATTTTTGTAAAATGTTAACATTCTCTATTTTTAACTGTTTGATACTATGTCACTTTTCAAACTGGCAGATGAATGAAAAAGATAATCAGTATCTGCTGCACGCAACTAATGCCCTTTCTTTGTTCCTAGCAGTTGACATTTCATTTACATGCCTAAGATTTACTCACTTTTTTTAAATTGATGCCACTACCAAACTGAATTGGTATCAAGAATGCAAACAGATACCTTGCTTTGAAAGAAAAACAGATATAGGACCCTGAAGACTGCCAGAGCATGGGGACAGGGCGGTGTATTTATGTGTGTATGTGTGCGTGTGTATATTTAAATATGTATGCATATGGGTATGCATGCATAAATGCACGGAGTTAGATTCTTTAAAGACTAAATTGTACATATAATTAATTACATTTTCTAAAACTGAAAAAAGATTACAAAGAAGAAAAAGAAGGTTACAAAGTTTCAAGTACGTTCCGGCAGGAACTGAAGACAGTACTTGGACTTGGCTCAGAAAATTCTTTAACTTACTGTGCAAAAATTTATTGCCGACAAGATGAAAGCCATAGCACGCGACATACCTAAATGGCCATACATGGCTTCCTCAGACAATAGCTACTCAGTACTTTTGCAAGGTTCAAGAGAGATTTCCTAGCCAAGATTACAAATAGATGGTACAGACTTTGTCATCAGACAGTACTTTAAAAATTGATTACTGCATTACAAACCAAAAGCTATATTAAAATATGCCTAAATAAATTATATTAATGCCCTATTAATACTACAGAGGCAAGCATTCAGAAGTCAGGTCATCTGAACACTGCACGAGCAATATGATACAGTTCCTTTATTACATGATCCCAGGTTAATAATAAAAAAAAAATTTAAAGCCCTAAGACACTGCAATGCATCTGACTGAGAGAAAACTGCGTTCTCTGCTAGCTTTCATACTCCTGACCTGTAGATTCCCGTATTTTAAACCTCAGCACCAACACAACTTACTGTATTTAATTTCTAAGTATGACAGGCATAGTTGCACAGATTTCTTTTGTATTGAGAGCTCTTGATTCTACAATTCTAACTCATATATTAAAATTTCCTTACATGCATTGTCTGTTTCACATAACAGTATTCCTATACTCACAGTTGGATAGGTTTTTAATAGTTTGTCTTCAACTACAGACAGACATTCACTGGTAAATATGCAAGATTACTGTGCCTGCCCATCCTTTAAAAAGCCATTAAGTATGTAAATTAATATTTTGACGGATTTTTCTAGTCTTTTTGTACTTCTTTTTGGTATTTGCCTCTACCCCACCAAAATAACATGAGAAGGGTATAACACAAACTTTCATTTGAATTAAAAACAAAGAAAAATATATTAAATCTCATCAACTAGTAAAATCACCAGGTTTTTAGGGATCTGCAAGCAGCTTTTCTGTGTTCAGTAGCAGGATGCTCCAAGCTTACTGAGAAACATTTCCCACAACGCTGCTTATCCTTATTCAGTAGCCTAATTCAGGTTTCTGAATACTAAGGGCTAACACTAAGCTAGGATCAGAAGACATATTGACACCTAATTTGGATATCTAGTTCTGCCGTACCTGCATGCGACTTCTGGCGTAGAATGTGGATCTCTAAGGAATATACGCGATCGGCAGCGTCTAGCTTCAGCGAAGTACTTCCAACAGCGCAGTACTAGGGAAAGAGCCGCAGAGGGGTCTTACCGCCTGGGGAAAGCAAGATACTTTTCCAGTACCATTTAGAAGAATGCATTGTCACTTTGAACACTCGCACTACAGCACAAAAGGAGCCCTTCGGCTTTGCCAGTGGCCCTGTTTTTGGGCCACTGGCAAAGAAGTTGATTTCCTTCCTCCACAATTTATGCAGGTATGTGTACTCCCCATTAGTCCATGCTTTTTTCAGAGTATGAAAGTGATCCTTTACATAATCCATCGCAGTCTTCCACAGTATTGCTTGTTCCTGTCCAACTAGTCAAAAAAAAAAGATAATAAATGTGGATGATTATTAACTTATTATTATTGGACCGCATGATCATTGCTTTCAAAGGAGCAGATATTGACCTGACTCAAAATTCAGTGTCTTGATACTGAAAAACTGTGTTGAATAAATTGGAAAAACTTTTCTTTTTCTTTGCAGTTAAAAAAAACTGACAATTCTTTTTTTTTTCTTAAAAATTACCCACAGACTCCCCCTCTCATTGCTCTCTGACCCAATGAATTGAATAGATGTGCAAAACCTTTTGGTTGCTGGTCAAGTACAAGAGAAGGGAAACATGACTGAATACAGCACTGGCAAATAAACTTGAGTATTTTTTTCACTTCTATGAAGAAAAGTAAGCCTTTTTATAATTTGTTCATTAAAGGCATAAATGGACAGGGTATAAATTGGCCCTGTATATTTATGTTTCACCTCTTTATGTTTTGGCTCTTGACAAATATGTAACTAACTGACTAATCTAGCATCTGTACTGCGTTTCTTTCCAGAATGATTATTTTACTTCTGATAAACTCACTCAAAAGACAAAAATCAGCAGATGATACTAACACTATACTGCTTTCCAGACAAATATCCATGGTTAGAGCATAATTTCCACACTGTGGATCAAGTGCAAAATTTAAACTGAAATACTAAAGTACCTATACAAATTATCTTAGGAATCCCAGGAAGAGTCAAGGAAGTACCGTCCTGTACAGAAATACTAACTTACAGACTAAGTTAGGGCTACAGATTCTCCCCAGAAGCTGAAAACTCAAAAATGTTTTAATCCTTAAAATACACATTAATTTTATATGTTCTGTAGGTTTGGGGGGTTTGGGCCTTGGTTTTGTTTTTTGAGGAAAGGAATCATTTTGAAGCTAACAGCTCATTTGAAGCTGAAGCAATACTCAAAATCGGGGGACTGCAGTCAGAAGAGTTTAGAAGGAAATTCTGGAAGTAAAGTTGCTAGGAACAAATGACAGTTTGCCTTGCTTTGTTCTCTCGTCAGAAGAATGTCAAATCCCTCTTTTCTTACATCAGTCTTGTTTTGTTTCTAATAGCAGAGACATTTACTGAAGGTCTTGCAGGTCCACCCACATTGCTTGTGAGCCATAATGCACAGGAAAAATAAATCAGGTAACAGTAGAGGTTAATAAAATTTGAAATGTTTGGAGATTTGACTTGGCAGAGGAAAACTCCTCCAGTTCCTGAATCTCCTTCCATTACTGTTGTGTCCCGGCAGACCATTCCTCACTTGTTCAGAGGAAGCAGTTATGGTGGCTGAAGAGCCTGCACAGATGTTCACAACAGTCTGAACCATGTTCACTACAGGTGAGAAAATATGTCGTATTGCTCAAACGTCTGAAAGATTTTTAAAGCTGGGGGAAAGGAAACACCAACGAAAGTGGGGAAATTAAACGTTGGACTGGGGCGGGTATATAAGATCATAAAAGCACTAAGAATAGGATTTGTTGTAGTCAGCCTTGAAATGGCATTTCCCAAGCCAGACAACTTAAAAGGGGTAGATGTTTCATACAATATATACATATCTGGTACCACCAATGATGACAGAAAAACTAGGTAGTGCTTTTGTGTGTCCTTGTGCGTGTACGCATGTGCACTGGCACAGCTATACCTGACAGAACAGGCACAAGGAGTACCTCTTGGCTGGCCAAAGCTCAACCCCTTTTAACGTGGAGGAACTTAGCATCATTTTAAAGCTTAATTTCAGACAGACTCAAACGTAGTCCAGTTCAGACTTTGACAGCACTCAAAAATTGCACTTCCTGGATTGGCTGGCTAATGCATACTATGAATGAACATATTTCCTGGCTTTAAAACTTACACAAATTAGTTTGGACATCACAACCGTTAAAAATTTATGCAGACATAGAAAGGGAATAATGTTGCTGAATGTTTAATGCTATTTGTTTTCCAGCGCCCCCTAAGAATAAACAGGAATGACACGTTCCTTTCTGATTACAGGCTGCGAATGACAGCAGCCGGCTCCTTCATGCTGATTTCCCTTTCCTGCGAGGTTCTCTCCTAAGCCTTCTCATCTGCCTTAGTCTTGTCACTCACGAGACTTAACCGTATTTTTATCTATTTAGATCAATGGAATATAGAAGGCTGAATGTATGTGTAGGGCCTTACTGGTACATTTTAATGGCCACTCAGGCATTCTTCAAAATGATGCTCAACACATTGATTCAGAGTAATTAAGCTGTAAATCAGATTTTCCTCAGCATACACATCTGTTCATCAGTGTTAATTCAGCTATACTTTTCAATTTGTAATCTATGTATGTTCTGTGGGAATGTAAGTACTAAGACACTAGCACGTGTAATCTCTCGCTGGAAAGCTGCTGCTGAGCAAGTGACCAGTGAGTTACAGTTCGTGTTAACATTAATGAAACTGAATGCCACTATGGAAAGGGTCTCAAGTTTAGAGAGAAAAATCAGCTTTCTATCATGTGTGTTTCTGAGGAACTCCAACTACGTAAGACCACGATTTGTTCCGAGTATTCAACGAAAAATAAGTAAGTTTGTTTTAACATCCTTATGGCTACCTTGAAGAGCTAATCATTTGACCCTTAGGGTGAACGCATGCCACTCAGGATGCAATGGTGAATTAAATACCCATCTATCGGACGAAAGAATAAAAGAGAGAGAGAGAGAGAGAGAGAGAGAGACAGAGAGAGAGACAGAGAGAGGAAATATTTGCATAAGCTAGATGAAATGATTTAATATGAGGGAGCAGAGGTCAACATATAATGCTATAAAGTGAGGAGCACTTCACAGAAGTGTAATGACCTATATTTGGCCTAAACAACCTATTGTATGACCATAAATATACCGTTACTGTGAATAAATGAGGTTTGAAGACATAGTAGGTAAACGGTAATAAATACGTAATATACAATCTGTTGTCATGAATAGAGAAAGCATTTAAATTATAGTACTACAGTGGACTCTAATAACATTCCTTGTTATTTGCCCTTCAAAATCTCTCTTGCTCTTTATAGGACTTAGACGTCTACTCCCAAAAAAGCCCCGATAACTGAAATAAGTGAAGCTAAAAAAAGAATCTTTTTCTGAATTTCCCAATGTGTGAATATGCACATATATAAACTGGACTGAGCATTTCTGCAGAAAGAATGTTTACCTTTAGGCTTGGCCAAGAATAGGGAGAATTTGTGAACAGCTCTCCAGAGACAGTCTCAGATTCAGTGCAAATACAGATGAAAAAGGTTACCTAAAATAAGAAAAAGCATTAAATCAACATAGGCCTGAAGAAGTGAGATGACTTCAGACTCAAAGTTATCTATGAATGCTACATATATTCATTTTTTTAACTTCACCCAACAACGAAATTATGATGAGGTATATGCAGAAATCTACTCATTCAAAGATACTCCTTCTAAAATTAACTGAAATAGAAATACTTTCAATAGCATGCTTCTGCATAAGATTTAGAGGGACACAGACCAAAAAACCGAGGCAAGTGATCATCCTGCAGAAAGCTAAGGGACCACGACGATGTGACGAACAGGAGCTAGGAAGCTAATTGAGGAATGAGCGCAGGCAAGATTCCCTAGGCACGACACGGGAGGGAGCGCACGAGTTGCTGCGGGGCCAAGCGGGTGCTCTGCCTCGAGTGCTGACAACCACCGAGATTCACTCACCTCAACAAAAATTGAAAAGGCACAATCTTTCAAAACAACATGACCGTGGAGAACAAGCCAGGGAAGGTAAAAAGAATGGGACGAGTGAGTGAATTTTTGCAGACTTTAAGCTGAAAGAAAAGCAGCAGAGTGGAGGTCTTACAAAAACATAGATTGCTGTCAGAGCTTGGAAGTCTCTGTCTAGCAGGCCTATTAACAGTCAACAAGAGGAACGTAAAATGGCAAGCATGGGGTCCGTTCTTCTCCTTCACCTTTCTCGTTTGCTTTCTAGATACTGAAAACTGAAATCCAGTGGGACTGGTTAACGAGAAGTATTTTGCTTTGCTGCATTTATTTTCTTCATAAAAAAGTACTGTTGCTCAAGCAGCTCCTACAGTACAGAAAACATGCAAAGTTTCTGCAAGAACACACAAAGCATGCGGCAGTTCTTTGCACTGCTAGCAAGTGAGACAGGTACATTTATAAGGGAGATGAATGCTAATTAAAGGATAGCTGCCTTTTGTGAGCAAAGCAGCGGTTCATTTCTTCACTGTATTTCTAAGTAGGTGGTTTCCTGACCAGAATAACCATTTGTTTTTCATAAACTATTACTTTTTTCAGCCTTTTTGTGAAGTTTATTTTGACTGAAACTGCTTTAACTGCAGTAGACACCACCAAAAGGAGGATAAGAGACAATGATCTTTTAAATCAGTAATATGTACTGTAAAGAAAGAGAAACAATTTCTCTCTGCAGTAAAACAGTAAAAGCTCTGGAGTTTTTTTGTTCTGTTTTTAATACGTTTGCAAAGATTTCATGGGAAGGTAACTATAATTACCTTCAAGTACAGCTTTGACCTTAACATGTACCTCAAAGGACAATTAGGTTTAGCTGTGAAGGGCTTTTTCTTTACACCTCTTGCTGAATAAAAACATTTCCTTTTACCGTCCAGAACCTCGCTACATGCCAAGCACAGTGTTTGTGGCTGTGATAGAGCACCAGACATTTAATGTTCTAGCTGTTGTAGCAT